GAGGAGGAGGAGGAGGGGGAGGGGGAGGAGGAGGAGGAGGAGGAGGAGGAGGAGGAGGAGGAGGAGGAGGAGGAGAAGGAGGAGACGGGGAGACAGGAGAGAAGAGGAGGAGGAGGAGGAAGAGGAGGAGGAGGAGGAGGAGGAGGAGGAGGAGGAGGCGGAGGCGGAGGAGGAGGAGGATCGAACGTCGCCTGGGCGGGCAGTCTGACATCCAGCCTCAGCCAAGAGCGACAATCGCGGCGTGCCTCGCACGCCTTGTAGAATTATGGTTACCTTCGAGGTGGGGTTGCTGCTGAAGCTCAGCACGGTACTTGTGATGTGGTATGCCATTGCGGTTCGATAGTTCGCACGCTCATAAGAAATGTGGTTGAGCTCCCTGGCTACATTGTAATCGGAAGCAGGGCCAAGCCCTAGACGCATGATCGGGCCACTGGGAATGATAGCACAAGGAAGGGCGAGCGGGTCGGCGAGACGGGGACACGAGAAGATAATGGACTATAGAGTCTGGAGCATGCACCTCGCGGCCCAGGCCTTCGCGAGTGCAGCCGAAACGGCAGCCCCTGGGAGTGGGACCCCCCACCCGGGCAGACGTGATCCAGGACCTGGCGAGCGTTTCTCAAGGGCCCAGGCTCGTGACCGTGCCGCCTGAACACCACGAAGCCCAGCCCAACACTCTTCGAGCTCTGGCCGTCTGATAGGGGAGTCGGTCGGGAAACCGCTTGGCAGATCGCAGGGATGATGTCGGAAAAGAGGGAGGAGCGGAGGGAGCGGAGGAAGACCGTCTGAGGCCGAAACCCTACCTTCCAGGAGCTGCGGCGAGCACCGTGACTTTCCAAAGCGTGTCGAACCATCCGGGCAGCGCTGCTGCTCGAGTTCGCTCCCCCGCTCCAGTGGCCCCCCCCCACCCGCCCCGCTATAGGCAGACCGAGCGCGGCGGCCCTCGCCCGGGCGAAATGCCTCCTTCGGAATCGCACTGCTGGTGGGCAGGCTGCCAAACGGGGCAGCATAGTCAGCGATGCCCTGGCGCCGAATTCGGGACCTAGGCTAGCACTTGCTGCGGAGAAAATGTGTGAGACATCCGTTGACGTGAGCCGCTTCTTGAATCCGCTCCCGATGATGATGCTGCTGATGATGCTGATGATGATGTTGATGATGACGATGATGATGATGACGCTGATGATGATGATGATGCTGCTGATGATGATGATGGTGATGATGATGATGATGATGGTGATGATGCTGATCATGATGATGATGATGATTAGTATGATGATGATGCTTAGTATGTTGTTGATGATGATGATGACGAGGATGGTTATGATGCTGATGATGCGAATAATGATGCTGATGCTGGTGATGAAGATGATGACGATGCTGATGGTGATGATGATGCTGCTGATGATGATGAGTAGGAGAGAGGACCGTGTTGGGGCAGTGCTCCAATACATTTTTGCTTGCACGCTATCAGTAGCCAATTTGGTCCAGACGAGTCCCACAATGAACGAAGCGCTAGCCCGATGCTGACACAACAGGCTGCATCGACGCGCTTTGATCTCGGTCGGCTTGACTGTCTGCGTTTGATCAGGGCGCAGGATGGCAAAAGAGGCTGAGGCGGGAGAGGGAGCAGGACAGGAGGAGGAGGAGGAGGAGGAGGAGGATGGGAAGGAGGAGGGGAAGGGGAGGGAGGAGGAGGAGGAGGAGGAGGAGGAGGAGGAGGAGGAGAAAAGGAGGAGGAGGAGGAGAAAAGGAGGAGGAGGCGGAGGAGGAGAAGGCGGAGGCGGAGGAGGACAGGTCGCCGTGCGAGGGAGGCTGAGGCGGAGGAGGGAGGAGGACAGGTCGCCGCCTGGCCTGTCGGGCCCTAACTCGGGCCTCCAAGGCAGCTGTCCGGGGCGATCCGTACGCCCTGCAGACGCCTCTCGGCGAGGCGCAGCTGCTGGAGAGCCCCCCGCGAGGCCAGAAAGACGCCGGGACGCCGACGGGAACGTCCGAGGGCCGCCTCGCGACGGAGGGGAGGGAGGCGCAATGGTCCGAACTGGATCGGCGGGCCTGAGCTGTATACAGGAAAGGCTTCGGTGTGCGCAGAGACAGCCCCACCCCCAAGAGCCCCTGCTTGCCTCAGCACCCCACCCCCGGTGCGCAGAGCGCCCCAGGGGTGCCGCCAGAGGCGGGGTCGCAGGTACTGAGACCACCTCGGTCTGCAGTCAACCCGCAAAATAAGAACGCACGAGAAGGACGCAAGGGCCTTGTAAGGCCATGTCGACACTTGGCGATGGGGTGCGGCCAGCGAAAGCGGTCAAGGGTGGGCCGAAGAGGAAGGATGCAAGGGTCACCTTGGAAGGTTGCTCGTCCTTCCTATACGGGTTGACTGCGCTCGAAGAACCTGCTGAGGCCAGGCGGGACTGTCGGGGGGGCTCCCTGTCCGCAGCCCGAAGCCTTGACACTGGATCGCAGGGCGACAAGATCTCTGCGCATCCGCCGCCGCTGGCCTGGCCCCTCCTGGCCCCCTGGCTCGGCAAGGGAGGCACGCGCGTCGCTCCTGGGCTAAGGATGGGCCTGGCCACCTGCGGCCGATCTGTCATGTGCAAACCTCGCCGCCCGAGATCTAAGACCGAGGAGGACCGAGGAGGAGGACAAACAGGAGGAGAAGAAGGAGGAGAAAGAGGCGGAGGAGGACCGAGGAGGAGGAGAATGAGGAGGAGGAGGAGGAGGACGAGGAGGGTGAGGAGAAGAGGAGGAGGAGGAGGAGGGGAGGAGGGAGGAGGGGGAGGCCTCAGGCCCTCCAGCCTCAGGGGCGCGGCGCGGGGGGCCGCCGCCCCAGGCGCGCACTCCGAGAGCGAGCGCGCCGCGGCCGCCACGGGCGACGCCAGGCCGCCGCCGGGCGCTGGAGGGGGGGGGGGGGGGGCTCTCCTTCTGCGCCTCCATCGCTCCTCCTCTTCCTCCTCCTCCTCCTCCTCCTCCTCCGTTTCCCCCCTCCCCTGCTTCTCCTCCACTGGCTCGCTCCTCCTCCCTTCCATCCTCCTCCTCCTCTTCGTCCTCCTCCTCCTCCTCCTCTTCGTCCTCCTCCTCCTCCTCCTCCTCCTCTTCGTCCTCCTCCTCCTCCTCCTCCTTTTCCTCCTCTCGACTCTCCTCCTGCTCCTCCCTCTCCTCCTTCTGCTCCTCCTCCTCCTCCTCCTCCTCCTCCTCCTGCTGCGTCTCCTCCTCCTCCTTCTTCTCCTCCTCGTCCTCTCGCCCTCGTCCTGCCCCCATGTCATCCTCATCCCCCCTGTCCTTCTCCTCCTCCGCCTGCTCCTCCTCCTGCTCCTCCGCCTCCTCTTCCTCGTCCTCATCATCACCAGCATCACCAGCATCACCACAACCCATCAGCATCATCATCATCATCATCATCATCATCATCATCATCATCATCATCATCATCATCATCATCACACACCACCACCATCATCATCATCATCATCATCATCATCATCATCATCATCATCATCATCATCATCATCATCATCATCATCATCATCATCCATCATCATCATCATCATCATCATCATCATCATCATCATCATCATTATCATCATCATCATCATCATCATCCTCATCCTCATCATCAGCATCATCATCATTATCAATCATCATCATCATCATGATCATCATGATCATCATCATCATCCTCATCATTAGCATCATCATCATCATTATCATCATCAGCATGGTCATCATCATCATCATCAGCATCATCATCATCATCGTCATCATCATCATCACCATCGTCATCATCAGCATCATCATTATCATCAACTTCGTCATCAGCAGCGCACCTATTATAGTCATAATATTCGCCATGTTCAACATCATCATAATCAGAATCATCCTCATCATTACCCTCAACATCAGCATGATCATCATGACCATCGGCATCACACCAAGCATCATCACTGCCATGAGTAATCAACACCTTCCCGATCGTTAACCACATCGAAATCATCAGCACCATCATCGGAATCGTCTTCATCGTCATACTCAGGCTCACCATCATCATCATTATCACCATCAGCATCATCACCATCATCCTCATCCTCATCCTCATCACCATCATCATCATCATCGCCATCATCATCGAGTCGTTTCCATCCTCCTCATCATCATAAGCATCAGAATCACCATCATCATCATGATGATCATGATGATCATCCTCCTCATCATCAGCATCATCATCATTACCATCATCATCATCACCGTCACCATCATCATCATCACCATCATCAGCAGCATCATCATCACCATCATCGTCATCATCATTGTCATCGTCATCGTTATCAGCATCATCTCCGCCCCCGCCCCGCCACCACCACCGCCACCGCCTCCATCACCACTACCATCACCACCTCCTCCTCCTCCACCTCCTCCTCCACGTCGGCGCTGCCTGCCTGCCCCTCTAACACAAAGAGAGGGAGCGAGAGAAAGAGAGAGAGAGAGAGAGAAACGCAGTGCTCGCTGGAGGAGGTGCATCGGCAGGGAAAAAGAATTGCTGACGCGGCCGCGGTCTCAGCTGGGTGCTCTGAAACAACATTGATGTCGGCCTTGACACCTTGAGACGACGAGAACGAGCCGGCGAAGCCAGAAGACGACGAACACCCGTAATACTCAACACTTCCTCTGGGCCAGCCAAACTTCGGATGAGGGGACCCAATGCAATACGGAATACCCTCCCATCCAGGGGCCGGGAAAGGTACCTGTCCAGTACGGGTTCAAACCACGAGTGGACCACGGGCCCAGGAAAACCGGACTAGCCAACCATCTGCCTGCAACTTCGGTCCACCTCCTGGCCTCCACGGCAAAAGCCTGACGCCCTATCTTGTCTCCATCGCCCGGCTCCGTGCTTGTGGTTGACACAAATCCGAAGCCCAGAAGCGCCGACACACAGAGACAAAGCCCGTTGAAGAAAGCATCTCTCTTCCTGTTGACTTTGTCGAAGTCTCAGAAGAGCGACACCAATCCTTCCCTTCCCGCCTCTCTGCCTTTTCACCATCAGGATTCCAACTCTATGGAGCCTGCACGAGGATAGCGGACACACGCGAAGTCCGACTCACAAAAACCAGACTCAATCGAAGTCCTCTTCGAAAGTAGTGTGCTTGCCGTGATCCGGCACCCAAACTCGGCGCTCAATGTCCCATAACATGGGAGCCTCCGTTGTGTTGGCCGAGACTTCTGTCTTCACAAGCACATCCTTGGCCCATGCCCACTGACCGTTGACAATAGAGTTCCACTTCCCCACATCCCTGGGGCACGTTGCATCAACTTGGGCAAACGCGTACGGATTGTTGTTCTGGTAATCCATACCGATCATCCACAACACTTGCTTCTGCACGTAATACAGGTAGATGGGTTGACCCTCCGACCCAGCCTTCACGTAGACTGGCTTACCGCCATTGTACTTCGTGGGCTCGATGGTGCTCTTCATGAACACGCCAGTAGCGGCTTCTGGGAACGGCGCTGCCCCAGTGATCCGCATCTGGGACGGGCAGTTCTTGCACGACTCGTCGTCCTTCTGCGGGTCGAAGGGGGTGTGGCAGCACTCCCCTGTGCCCTTGAGCCAGCCCTGCAAGTTCTTCGACAAGGTCTTCTTGTGAGTGCGGATGTCACAGTAGTACTTGGACCATGACTGGCACGACCCGAAATTCGTGTTCTTGCATGTGGTCTCCGGAGACTCCGGCCGGCGCACCATCGCCAGAAGCCGCCTCTTGGCGGCGGTCGGCTTGGGGTGCCCCGTGAAATGCGCAACGACCACGTTGGCGCTGCATTTATGTGAGCACTCTTCCGCCATGCCTGGCTGAACGCCCATGATATCCACACAATTGAACTCCCGGTCGAGCTCCATGATTTTGCCGGCATAAGCAGCATTGATGATGTTCTGGTCCAAGATCTGCTCGCGCTTACGGGTAACGACCAGCTCGAGCATATGGGTGAAAATTTCCACACTGGGACGGAATAGCATCACCCCGCTATTGTACTCGTCCTTGCAACCATCGGGCGCCATGGCGATGTGGCCCTTCTTCAGCCGTGTACCAGTCAGCAGTTCCTTGATCCGGGGGCTGAACACGTAAGTGTCTGCATCGAAGAAGAGCACCCTGCCAAAGCCGAGCCTGAAGATGTTGATCTTCTCAAAACTGTCGTGCCAGCGCTTCATGAACTCCTGGTTGCAATCCTGTTGGCAATACTCGTCCTCCCAGTTCTCCACAAAGACCAGCTGCCAGCCAGCGTTCGTTAGCTGTTTCTGGTGTTCAGGCTTCATGCCCTCGATGGCAATGGCCACCAGGGGATAGCCTGGGGCGTGCTTCTTCAAGGAGTGTGCGAGCATCACCGCCGCGTCGAGGTACTCCGTCTTTTTCTGCCCGGCGAATGTGACGAGCGCGGTGAGCTCCTCTGGCGTCTTGTCAAGGCGGAGGTGGGTCACCGAGAGGTTCTTGGCATTCGCCGCGATCCACGGGTTGGACTGTTTCCCCACATCCTGGATGGGATTCTTTACCGAAGGATATGGAGACCCCAATCCCCGACTTTGGGGCTTTTTCGACCAGACCAGACATGTTGGGCCCAACCTTGGGATGCACGATGGGGGGCGTCCATCCTCGCGACGGGTGCGCCCGAGCAACCCCCTGGGGGTGCATCCCAGAGTTCCCCCCAGACCAAACGTTCCGGGCGAAGCTTGGGCATTACAGTGGAGGCCAGTCCACAAGAAACCTTCCACAAGAAACCGAACCCTGAGACCCCAGGACGTCCGTTTATCTTTGGGGTGGGGGTGGGGACGTCACCCTTTCTGTTAAACAACAACACAACATCGAAACCCACGGAACCCAAGAAACCCAGGGCACCCTGGAGGCGAGCAGGGTGTCTCTTGGCGTGGGCCTCCACTGCATCCCAGAGATTGGCCCCCGACCAGACGTGTCGGGCAGAGCTTGGGCACCAGCGGAAGTTGGCCTGCGCATCCTGCGCCCTTCGACCCTCACCCAGACGTCGTCCTCCTCACACGGCGCGCCCTTCCCTGCCGCATCACCGTGGCGGGTCCGGACGGGCCCGGTCTCGGGCGTCTCGCTCGAGGCCTCCTCAGTTGGCTCTCCCTGGTCTGAGGCGCACAGGCTCCAACGACTACCAAACTGGAGGGTTGCACGCTTCCGAAGCGTCGCTCTCGCCGTACAGCCGCGCGAATTCGTCGAAGCGGTTGCGCAGCAGCTGCGAAGATGAGGACTGGTTCATGCGGCTCTCGCTTCAGACACCCGCAAATCATCAGAGTGAGGGGACGAACGGTCATTCATTCTCCCTGGGTGCGTGGCTGAAGTGAGAATCCGTGGTGAGGGTTCTGCTTGTTCCGTTGTTGTTATTCTCGTTGTTGTTGTAAGTGTTGTTGTTGTTGCTGTCGTTGTTGCTGCTGTTGTTCTTGCTGTTGATGCTGATGTTGCTGTTGCTATTGTTGTTGATGTTGTTGTTCGTGGTGTTGTTGTTGGTATTGTTGCTGGTGGCGTTGTTGTCGTTGGTGTTGTTGTTGCAATTGTTGTTGTTGTTGTCGTTGTCGTTGTTGTTGTTGCTGCTGATGTTGTTGTTGTTGGTGGTGTTGTTGTTGTTGTTATGGTTGTTGTTGTTGTTGTTGTTATTGTTGTTGTTTGCTGTCGTCCCCCCCGCGACCTACCCCGCGACCCACCCGCGACCCAACCCGCGACCCACCCGCGACCCACCCCGCGACCCACCAGCCACCCACCTAAGACCCATCCGCGACCCACCCCGCGACCCACCCGCAACCCACCCCGCGACCCATCCGCGACCCACCCGCAACCCACCCGCGACGCACTCGCGACCCACCTGCAACCCACCCCGCGACCCACCCCACCCGCGACACACCCGCGACCGATCCACATTGGTTTGAAGAACGAATCGGCGCCTGCGGCGGGCTCGTTGTATCATTTGTGAAGTGTTGGCGCCTGCGGCGGGCTTGTCCAGAGTCTCGCAGACTGCCGATGTCCCCACCGCCCCTTCACTCTTATCCGCATCTGCGGGGTGCTACGTATCCCCCACCAGGCCTTGAACGGGTTGAGGGGTACCTCATACTTGAAGCCTCCCTGAACAAGCAGATCAAATCCGCTGCCAAACGAGACCGAGCAGAGTGGCTAGAGAACGACCTCGCCGAGAATGGCTGGTTTGCCAGAAAGCGCCTGCGGTGTGGGACTTCGCGTCGACAGCAGGGCCGACTCCAAGGTCGAGATGGCAGCCTCGCGGACTCCAGCGACGGCTGAGACAATGGCGGCTTATGTCCGGAACGTGCAGTGGATAAGAATTCCTGGTGCAGGGGAGGGCCAGCCATCCGAGCCTCGATTGGACCTGGTGATAGACATTCCGACCAGAGAGTTCTCTGCAGAACATTGAGACTGTGATGCCGCGACTGCGAAGGGAAAAGCAAGTGGGGCGGAAAGTGTGCCCCTGGACTTCTGCGCCACCCTTGGTCGCAATGACACCTCCCTGCAAATCTTGCTTCACTTGTTGAACTCGTGCTAGGAGGCACGGTCCTGAGCGTGCTTTTTCGGCATCTGCCATCGAATTGCCGTCCTACTTCACTCCTGGCAGTGGGCTACAAGGTTCTCGCGGCTTTGATTTTGGGACGGCTTCGAAGTGGAGGCGCGGAGAGTCGCCTCCGAGACAATCAATATGATTTTCGCCCTGGCAGGGGCGTGGACTTGGCCATCCTCACTGTGCAGCGCATTATGGACGCAGCGCAGGACCTCAGAGACGGCGAGCTGTCCGTTCTGCTTCTGGATTGGTCGAAGGCTTTCGACCGCATCGATCCAGCGATGCAAGTGGCTCTGCGCAGGTTTGGTCTGCCCGAAGCAAATATCGACATGGTGGCTTCTGCATACAGATACAGATCGCTCACAATGCGAGACGCAGGCAAAGAATCCGGCGCTCGCCAGCAAGCAGCCGGCATAGCTCAAGGCAGCCCGATATCCCCGCATCTGTTCATCATCGTATGGACCGTCATTCATGCCACATCTGCGTTGGGAACCAGATGGCTGCAAGACTGACGATGTTGAGTACGCCGACGACATCGCCTTAATGTGTGCATCATCTACTTGTCTACAGGCAGCTTTGAACAGCCTGCCGGCTCGAGCTGCTCCGTCCGGTCTGCTTCCGACTTGGAACAAAAACGTCGTCCTGCACATCGGCAGCCCGTCGCCGAATCTGGATCCGAGAGGCCGACCTATCCCTGGTGCGGAGCAGCGCGTGTGCCTTGGCGGCATGCTGACCAACAGTGGATCCGCAAGATGTGCGGCCTCTCAAAGATTGGGCGAAGCGCGGGTTCCGTTCACAATCTTGGAAGCGGTATGGAGTCATGCTTCTCTGAGCAAGATAGGAAGCAGAGGATGTATTACTCGTGCGTCATCTCCTAATGATTGTTCAGTCTAGAGACAGGACGGTTAATCAAAGCTGACGATTATCGGATGAACTCTTTCCACATTTCTTGCTCAAGGAAACTCTGGGGGATACCACACCCCATGATTTCGAGTCCTCAACGAAAGAATTTGGGACGCTTCTTCGGCGCGCCCGCTGGCAGACCAGCTGATTGCCAAGAACTTGTGCCCTTTTGGAAGAGTAGCACTTCTTTCAAACACCAAGATTGTTCACAGATCAAGTCTCCAACCTTCGTCAACGCAGCTGTCCCGGCCAGGCGGCGTGAGAGAGCGAGGGCGTCCCAGAGCTTCTTGGGGGCACAGGACCAGAGTGCATGCGCTCAGGGCCGTGGGAGGCGACGAAGGTCGTCTGTCTGCCGCTCTGGACAGAGACAACGGCTGTCTCAATACGTCGAGAGCCGCTGTTCGACAATATGCTGTTTCACTCTGAGTGATCGCACTGCTGCCGATGTGCCGTCAAGGCACAGCTTCTGACCTGACCTGTGCCTCTGGGCACGGAGTGGGCGTGTCCTCAGGTCCTTTGCCTAATCCTCTGAGCCTCAACTCTCACTCCTGAGGAGTCTTTAAGGCGCCCGGAACCCTCGCTCTCAAATCTACTTCCCGCATGCCCCCTGGGCTCCGGGAAGTGGTGGCGCGTTAATTTGTCATGCCCAAGAGGGCCCCAAGACGGGCCAAGAGGGCCCCAAGAGGCCCCGAAGGCGGCCCAAGTGGGCTCCGAGTCGCCGAAAGATCTGCCCAAGACGCCCAAGAAGGCCTCAAGACGTCCCAAGAGGCCTGCAAGACGCCCCAGGAGGCCTCTAAGAGGCCTCCCCAGAGGACCCCTCTTTTGCAAAAATCATTGACTCTCCTTTAGGTTTTTGGCGGAGTTTGGCGTTCTCGCCTGTCTGTCCGACGCTCCCCGACGGCCCTAGGGGCCCCAACACCGCCCCAAGACGGCAAGGGCAGACGGCCCAAGAGGCGCCCAACACGGCCCAAGAGGGCCCCAAGATGCCCCAAAAGGGGCCCCAAAGAGGGAGCACAAACCGAAAATCCGAGCCTTCCACCCCAAGAGGCCCCAAAAGAGGCGCCCAGGAGGGCCCAAAAGGCCCCCTAGAGGCACCAAGAGGCCCAACGAGACCCAAAAGAGGCCCCAAGAGGCCTCCAAAAGCCCTCAAGAGGCGTACGAACTGCATCCAAGAGGCCCCCGAGAGGCCTCCCACGAGATCCCAACGAACATCCATTAGGCTTCATACCCACAACCCATGCACGGTGGCGGGATGGGCCGAACGCCGTTCGATTAGTTGACCCAGATTTCCCGATTTTGAAAGTTACACGGATGGAAGGCGACTCCATTTAAATGTGTGGTTATCGCTTGAGACTTCCGCAAACGTGATTACCATAACTTATAGAATCGCGGCGCTGGCAAAGATGGAGGGCAGATCCTGTTATTCCAAGGGCACTTCTTTGGACGTTAACGTCCTACCTTTTTGCGCGTCCGTGAACGAGAAAGATGAATAGTAGCCCAATTATAATTACCCTGGCGACGTACCCAATCCCTGCGCAATGCGGGGCATGAGTAGCTTGGGAGACGTTATACGGAGGTGATGACGTGACATGGGCGCATATACTTCTGCGAGCGGCATTCGTGAGGCTCGCAGCCCCCCAAGGATTGCGATGTCTCGCTCAGATCTGCCTGGTGCCTCGCTCCGCTGAACCCGCCACCAGCCTTCGAAAGTTGCGACGGCTTCGCAGATCGCAGCCCCCCAAGGACGGCGAGGCCCCGCTGAGATCTGCGCGGTGCCGACCAGCAGCCCTCGAAAGTGGCGACAGCTTCGCAGATCGCAGCCACCCAGGCACGGCGAGGTCTTGCTCAGATCTGCGCGGTGCCTCACTCCGCTGGGCCCACCAGCAGCCCTCGAAAGTGGCGACAATTTCGCAGATCGCAGCCACCCAGGCACGGCGAGGTCTTGCTAAGATCTGCGCGGTGCCTCACTCCGCTGGACCCACCAGCAGCCCTCGAAAGTGGCGACAGTTTCGCAGGTCGCTACGCTGGCCCCCCAAGCAGCCCTCGAAAGTGGCGACAGTTTCGCAGGTCGCAGCCCCCCAGGGACGGCGAGGTCTTGCTACGATCTGCGCGGTGCCTCACTCCGCTGGACCCACCAGCAGCCCTCGAAAGTGGCGACAGTTTCTAAGATCACAGACCCCCAGGCACGGCGAGGTCTTGCTCAGATCTGCGCGGTGCCACACTCCGCTGGACCCACCAGCAGCCCTCGAAAGTGGCGACAGTTTCGCAGGTCGCAGCCCCCCAGGGACGGCGAGGTCTTGCTCAGATCTGCGCGGTGCCTCACTCCGCTGGACCCACCAGCAGCCCTCGAAAGTGGCGACAGCTTCGCAGATCACAGACCCCCAGGCACGGCGAGGTCTTGCTCAGATCTGCGCGGTGCCTCACTCCGCTGGGCCCACCAGCAGCCCTCGAAAGTGGCGACAGCTTCGCAGATCGCAGCTCCCCAGCGACGGCGAGGTCTTGCTCAGATCTGGTGCCTCACTCCGCTGGACCCACCAGCAGCCCTCGGAAGTGGCGACAATTTCGCAGGTCGCAGCCCCCCAGGGACGCGAGGTCCCGCTCAGATCTGCGCGGTGCCTCACTCCGCTGGACCCACCAGCAGCCCTCGAAAGTGGCGACAGCTTCTCAGATCGCAGCCACCCCAGGCACGGCGAGGTCTTGCTCAGATCTGCGCGGTGCCTCTCTCCGCTGGACCCACCAGCAGCCCTCGAAAGTGGCGACAATTTCGCAGATCGCAGCCCCCCAGCGACAGCGAGATCTTGCTCAGATCTGCGCGGTGCCTCACTCCGCTGGACCCACCAGCAACAACAAACTGCTTGGGGGATTTCGCATGTGCAGCTCAAACTTTGTGAGAAAACAAAAAAGACGTCCCTCGTCGCGCTTATCCGCTGACAGCCTCCTTCTTAGCGCCTTGGAGTGTCCAGTCACCGGCAAATATGCTCCCAAGTTGGACAAGATGGTAAAAGAGCGCCCGAGCAAATCCCGAGAGGCGTTTTAGAGACACGAAGAGCCCCCGAGAAAACTCCCAGAGGTATCCAGGAATCTTCTCCGAATGCCCCTCGTCCTCGATTATTCTCTCCTCACTCTATCCTTCTGATGCATCCCAGGCCCTGGGGAAGACCGTGATACGTGACGGTATTCGCAAGAAGCTGAAATTCGGGGAAAGAGACGTCACGTGTTACGGCGATCTTCGCACCAACGGAATCACCCACCCATATACTCTTGTCTTTTCGGGCTTAGAGGGAGTGATGTGGCATACGCAGCGACACCCTGCTGCCAAAGGGATACCGCTGCCAGAGGTTACGGCATTCGGAGCCTGCAAAGAAAACTCATGGATTCGATGCCAGTCTGCAGACTGGAAAAGAGAAATCACATGTTACTGCCCAGCGGGCCCTGGGGATGGGCACTGTCTCATCTTGCGAGTTTCCCCGAACAGGGGAGACATGTGCCACACGATCTAGTATTTATTAGGTTGATATACTATCACGCGCCGCGCGATACCATGAATGAAGGCAATCAGAATTGGAACATGATGCATGCTCATCGCACAGTGTCGCCGATGCTGGCGCCTTGATTTACAATACCATTCGTGATACACGCTTGCTCACGTCAAACATCTAAATGTCCCATGCATTACGGTACACTCCGCACGTCTACATGTAATGTACCGTAGCACTGCTGTTTGAACGCTGGCGGAAAAGGCGGGGCCGTGTGTTCCAAATGATGCGGCCCGTCAAGGATCATACCATCTTTTGATACGTCTAAAAGCTAGGGGCGCAGGACCTCGCATGTGAAACACCGCTGGGAACTCGGGTGGAGAGGTGCCGCACGTCACTGCCACGTGGCCCTGAGAGGGGAGCGGCAACTATCACACGTGGCTTCCTATTGTCCAGGCCAGGGGGGTGAGAGGTTTCGCACGCCACCGCCAGAGTGTCCGACTGCTTCGCGGCGAAGCGGAAATTGTTCTTGGTGGCCAGCAGGGTGATCCAGCCCGCGGGATCCGCGATCCGGGCCCGCCTCCTGCCATCGTTCAGCTCCGCGGCCACCTCCAGGACGTTCACCTCCTGCTGCACCGCCACCTCCCCCACCTTCTCGCTGGTGCGGGCGTAGTCCTAGCGGGTCGGGCGAAAGGGGGGGATAGCAAGGGGGGGGGTGAGAATCAGCTCACGTAGCTGATTTTCCCGGCGCCTCCCGGCGCCGGAGGCGGCTATGTATCGAGGAATGGGCCCATCGGTGAAGCCGAAACCAGCTGCATGCAGCAAATTTCGTGACCCCCCCTTTCCCAATCCCCCCCTTTCGCCCGGCCCGATCCTTGCTCACGGGGAGCGACTTGAGGGTAGGCCCGGCCGAGACGACAACGTAGGTCCCAGGGCCGTCGTCCTCCAGCTGATCCGCCTGCTTCTCGGGGGGCGGGCAGCGCAGAGGCATCAGGGGCTGTGGGGGGTCAAGTCGGAGGAAGAGCAGCAGGAGACGCAGGATGGGGAGCAGGAGGCGGAGCAGGACGGAGAGGAGGAGGAGGATGACAAGGAGGAGGAGGAGGAGGAGGAGGAGGAGGAGGAGGACGAGGAGGAGGAGGAGGAGGAGGAGGGAAGACGGAGGGAGAGGAGGAAGAAGGATGAGCACGGACGGGTACGAACAGATGAGGAGAACGAGGAAGCCGATGAGGGGAGGGGAGGGGAGAGGGAGAAGGATAGTGGCAGCGCGGAGGACGACGACGCTCAGGGCGAGGAGGCAGACGAGGGGCACGAGGACGAGAGGAAGCCGCGCAGATCAGCAGCAACACTCAAAACGAGACGGCGAGATTCCTCACTCACTCAGCGCCCTGGAGCCGTTCCCTTCTTGCCGACTGCATTGAGAAGCCGCCACAGGAGAGAAATATCGCGGCGCTGGATTTCTGTACTTAATTCAAGTTATAGGGCAAACTATGGAGCTGGAAAGCACACTGCTCAACAGGAAATGATCAGACACAGTCGCCTATATCGTCTGAGATTGGTCTGCTACCAGAGCTAGAACTGAACAACTACTTGCACTCTGCAATCTGTCATAATTCGAGCTAGCTACAGAGCTGGAAAAGACTGTTCGAATGGGAATGATCACGAGCGCTCTTCAGTATCGAGACGAACTCGAGTCTCCCTCTTCCTACTTCTCCTCCTTCTCCACGCGGGGGAGGAGGCGGCGACGCGGCCCTGCTGGCTGGCCCACTTTCACACCGAAGCCGCCAGAATCAGCTCCTGGCTTCGCCACGGGGGGGGAGAGGGGGGCGAGGCCTTAAGTCGGGCCTGCCCCCCCACAGGGGGTTTTCGACGAAAAATAAAAAATACCCCCAAAATAATCAAAACAAATAATCCAAAAATCGTCCAGGGACTATTTTTTAGGTAGTTTTGGACCCTCTTGGGGCATTTTTGGGGTATGCTTTATTTGTCGTCGAAAAATCCCCCTGTATGGGGACACGCCCGACACATGGCGAGGCCGGGGCTCGCGCCGACCGGCGAGACCACCCAGAAAGAGCGGCGGCCTTCGTCGTCTTGCTGTCCAGGCGGGCGTGGAGCGCGGTCGCGCTGGAGGCGAGCAGCGCCAGCGCGGCGGCAGCGCAGAGCGTCCGCATGCCGGGGGCCGGAGAAGGTACGCAGGCACGGTGAAAGCGGAGGTAGTGCGAACCCTTGATCCAGAGTCGCTTGGACGCCTCCTCCTTTTTATCCTGATTGCCTCTACTAGGATGAGCTCCACATTCGGCGGTGGACAAACCTCCCTTTGGTAAACCTCCCCTTAGTAAAAACGGCCTGGGACCGAAAACGACGGACCTGGACCCGCAAAAATGACGGCCGCGACGCCCTCTCGCGAACCGAAAACGGCCAATTCCTCAATCGACGTGTCAGGGTAGGAGGTCGATCCACCTCCGACACATCCCATTAAGGACACGCGCCTTCGCTATGAGTGTCTCGCGTGTGTTCGAGGCGGAGGAGGTTGAAGGACCCTGGGGGCGTTCCCGCCTTGGCGCGGAGGTGTGCAGATGTTGGGCGCTCACTGGGGGAATTTGGATGGACATGGGAAAATTCGACGAGCAAGGTCTGGATCGTTAAGAGGGACGATACTGGTATGGGGAAAGTTGGAAGGGTATGGGGAAGGTTGGATGGCCATGGGAAAGGTTGGGCGAACGTCTGAGCTCAGGGCCCCCCGAGCAACTCCGGGGCAACGCAAGAGTCCCTGGGCCCTTCCGGCCAAGGCCGGGGTGCTCCGGACCACCTGCAGCCAGACTGGCGGGGCCATGGGACCCGTCCGGCTGCCTGGGAGGTTCCGGGGCCCGCCCGGCTGCGGCTGGAAGGTTCCAAGGCCCGTCCAGTTAAGACTGGGACCCAAACATGCGACGTCCTGATTTTTTCAGGACGGCGTCCCTGGAAGTCCCGACCAATGTCCCGGGACCGTTTTCTTCCCGTCCTGAGTCGTTGTTGGACGGCCCCGAGGCCAGCGAGGGCCCCCCGAGGCCGAAAATGGCCAAAACCTCTCGTCTTGATTTTTTTACGACGCGAGGAAGCTCCAGGGCACGTCCGGCTGGCCAGAGCTGGGGGGCTTTAGGGCACGTCTGGCTACGGCCGGGGGGCTTCGGGGCACGTCCGGCTCGGTGGCCCGCCCGGCTTTCTGACGGGGGGGCGCTCCCGGGCAAGGAATGCGGAGTTTCGCGGGGCCCGTGCGGCTAAGACTGGGGGCTCTGGGGCCCGTCCAGCCAAGGCTGGAGGATTCAAGGCCCTTCCGGCGAAAGCCCTAGGGGTCTCCCGGGCCCGTCTGGCTGGAGCCGCGGGGGGGGGGGGCTCCAGGGCCCGTCCAGATAACGCCGGGGTGCTCCAAGGCCCTTCTGGCCATGTCCGCTAACCCGCCCATGTCCATGTCATTCCCAATTTCGTCGCCCCTTCCCCACGCCCTCCCGGGTTCCCTCATGTGCGCCCCAGCTTCCCAGTGTCATCCCCAATTTCCTCATGGCCTTTCCAGCCCCAGCGTCATCACGTCCGTCTCATATGTCCCATACCAAATAAATCTTCCGCACGTCCACCTAACTGTTCCCGTGCGCCATCCTGTTTTCCCATGGTCGCCAAATCTCCTTCGCCTGCTCACCACTTGTCCGACGCCCGCGCAACCTGCTACACCCTGACGAGCAGTCCATCATTTTGGTCATCGGAAACCAACTTCTATCATGACCTTCCACACCTCGCTTTCGACTTTGGCCCTGACAGAGCTTAATGGGATGAGGATTCCTTCAACCTCCAAGATTCCCCTCTTCCCTGCCTCCCGAATTCCGCCTCCCTGTCCTCCTCGTCCTCCTCATCATATTCACCATCAAACACCTTCCACCACCATCATCATCATCATCATCATCATCATCAGCATCATCATCATCATCATCACCGTCATCATCAACAGCATCATCATCATCATCACCATCACCATCATCATCATCATCATCATCAACAACAGCATCATCATCATCATCAACATCATCCTTACCATCACCACCATCACAACCATCTCCACCAACAGCATCACAACTACACCTAACATCATCACCATAAACATAATCACAATCATTTCAATAATCATCATCATCATCATCATCATCATCATCATCATCATCATCATCATCATCATCATCATCATCATCATCATCATCATCCGCAACATCATCATCGTCATCATCGTCATCATCATCATCACCAGCATCATCCGTATCATCATTATCACTATCATTGTTGCATCATCACCCTCACCATGATCATCATTGTCAACATCACCCTTCAGCCTCTCAATCACTTCTCCTCCTTGAGGTGGCCAGGCAAGGGAGCTTCATTTCAAACCCGAAAGTTTTTCAAAGCATGGTTTAATGGAATTTAGTGCGGCTTAGTGGCCGCTAGTGCTTGAGAGTTGGACCCGCGCGCTTGGCTCAACCACCTTTCTGTGACTTGCCAACGCGGTCTTGGGCAGCAGTTTGGCCGTCGATCCGCTTCTTGCACCCCCCCGCACTACCCCTTCCAGTTCCGATGTCTCTCACTGGTTGTTTCCGCGCGATGGGCGCGCAGCGTTATCCCATCGGCGCGCGCCCTTCTCTGAGGCGGGTGCTAGCCTTGCCTCCCCTGTGCGTGTGTGTGTGCGTGTGTGTGTGTGTCTCTCTCTCTCTCTCTCTCTATCACTCTCTCCCTCTCTCTCTCTCCCTCTCTCTATCGCTCCTTTCTGTTGTTTTCGTGGCGACGCTCATGGGAGTGAGCGCGCACGGCGTCTGAGCGGCGCCCGCACTCGAATGGGGAAGCAGAACCCCCCTCCCCCCTTTTGGGATTCAGAGAGGGAGAGAGAGAGAGAGAGAGAGATGTGATAATGACGGCGAGGGGGGTGAGAAGGAGGGTGGAGGAGAAGGAGGAGGAGGAAGTGGATATAGGGGGTCGAGCTCGCGGGCTTCCCTTTCCTTTCCCCGCTCATTGGGGCTTTGGCGTCCGCGGCGTCCCCTGGCATCCTCGCGTCGCCTTTCTCGATGCTCAGATGAGAAACGGGCACCGTCGCCCGTCGTCCCCTTTCCCGGTCTCCTGCGAGGCCCTGGCCCCCACCGCCGCATTCGCCTCAAAATCCTGCTCAGAACGCACCCCGGGACAGGTCCGGGGAGCAGCGGTCTCGGTACTTTGTGGTTTCCCCAGGTGCGCTCGCGCAGAGCGTCAAAAGTGCACAGCACGAGTGCAGAGCGCATCTCGCGTGCAGAGCATCGGCGATCCGCACGCCCTGGCGGGGCCTTCGAAGATCCGACGCTGGCCCCGATCAGCCCAAAGTTCTGGCCTATTTGTTTGTCCGTATTTCGCATATATTCTCTGTTGGACCTCCGGCGGCTGATATTTTCCAGTATCGGTTCTCTTGCGGGTCAGGTTTCCGTTTCGAGCGAGCCCTGTTTCGACGGTACCGAGGCCCCGAAAACGGCCTCCAGCGCCGGGAACAACATGCCAATTGTAGAGCCGTTAGTTTCACATTCCCGGGTTTGGGGGAAATGGGCCCCGCGCTCCATGTCGACATTTGCCGGGGGCTTCATCGCTCTTCGAAGGCGAGCGGGGGGCGGGGGGGGGATCGGGGGTGAGACCGGGGAGGGGGGGGGACATGGCTCAAGGCGTCCGACTGCGTTCGGCGTTCTCTTTGCTACCGACGGCCGGTGCCGCTGCATTTGTCTGCTCGCCAGCGCGGGGAGAGAAAGGGCGGACGGGGGTGGGGGGCAGGAAAACGCGCCCGAAGCAGCATGCGGGGCGCCGCCCACGCGGGGCCCCGCGTCGGCCTGTTGGGGAGGGGGGGTGGGGAAGAAGAGGGCGGGAGGGAGGGAGAGGGGCGACTCGTGGGCCCTTCGGTCGGTCGGCGAGCCGATGGGCTCGAGTGGCAACCTGCCGCGGTCTTGCGAGGGGCGCCCCGCCCGGGCTTGCAGCGCGCTTGCTGCGGCAACGAGGGTGCGCAACCATGTCGAGCAGCTGGGCGCCGATGTTCGCGAAGATCAATTGGCCCTCCTCCTCGCCTTCAGCCCTCCCCCCTCCGCCTGTCGTCGCCCTCCACCAAGGATGGCGGAGATGTTCCGCTCGCGCTGACAGCGCGCATGGCGCATGGCATGGACAGCGCTGACAGCGCGCTGGCCCTGCGGTCCGAGTTCGACATGGCCATGAAGGCCGCCCTCGCGCCCGCCCCCCTCCGACGCAGAGGGCGCGCGGCCGAGTGGCCAAGAGTGCAGCGCCAGATCCGCTGGCGCAGGAGAGACCGCCAGCTTTTCCAGGCGCTGGAAGTTTGCGGGTCGATGTGGGGACGTAGAGGGCGGGTGTGCCGCGCAAGTTTCGCTCCTTCCATCGGTGCACCGTGCGCTGAGCCTTCCATGCCATGTGCCATCGACGACGTCGCGGCCCGCCATTCCGCGCCGCCGGCGTCCAAGGCCGATCGGGGCCTTGCATTTATCCGCGCGAAACTTCTCAGGGGTGTTCGGCGGCGCCCCCGACCTTCCGGGGCCCGCGCAGAAATTTCTCCCCCTGCGGACCTGGATGCTATGGCGGGCTGCCGAACGCGTCCGGCACCTCGGAACACCCGCCCGGGCGGGGTGGCACGCTTTGGAAGCGCGCAGACTCGCCCGGAACATCGCCGAGGAGGGCCTCGCGCAGGCCGCGCGGGATTTCGTTGGCGACTAGTCGCCTGCAGCGATTCCCGCGCGAGGGCGACGCTCGTTGCAGCGTGTCCCGGCCTTCGCTGCGAGCGCTGCCAGCGCCCCCCCCATCCCTCCTGACTACGCATTTCATTCCATCCAATTCCATTCCATTCCAGGAATCTTATTCTGATATAGTAAACCTCACTGAATTAATATCATTAAACCCAGTAAATCTCATTAGATATCACTCAATATTTTAATCTCATTAAATATTACGAAATCTCATCAGATCCAACTAAATCTCACTAAATCTCATTAAATCGGATTACATCTCAGTACACCTCACTAAACCTCATTAAATATCACTGAATCTAATTATCATTCAATCCCATGGAATTTCAGTGGATATCACTAAAACTCACTAGATATCATGTAATGTTCATCTCATGTAGTGTTCAATGCTCGGACGGCGGCAGGAGGAGTGGAAGCAGGAAGGGCCCAGTCTGGATGGGATCTACTGGGGTCCGATGGGATTCAGTGAATTCAATGAGATCTCATGAAATCTACTGAAGTC